ATATAAATAGATAAGTAACGCAGCACTATAGATAATCATTGTATTGCCCATGACATTATCAAGATTAACTGTCCTATCACACAAGGTGAAACGCATGCCTGCACGCCTTCCATCAAAGTCGAGATTAAGATGTTGTGCAGTTGCAGAGTATCATCCGCTTGTGTTGCCTGGGTCTGAGTGGGTCATGTTCACATTAACTGCCTCTGTGTGCCCCATTGCCTGTTGGAGAAATGGGGGCTGCTCAGGGGGAAATGGTGTGTCACTGATGAGGCCACACAGGTAACCCAGTGGAAAGACCCCACGTCACCAAGAGAAGATTTTCCCCTAATAACACAGCACAATTTGCACATTTGAAACACACTTACCTCATTGTATTTACGTTTTAATTAAAAAAATCCTGTAACTATTGCTCACTTGTCTAATAGGGTATGTTTTTATTTTAGTAGTAGTAGTTTGAGCTATTATAGTGTATTCTTACTTATTTATTTTTTATTTTATATGTGTATTCTAAAGATATAACATATCTTTCTACTATATCCATCTATCTATGTACTCTAGATAACTCGTGTTTTAACGTTGTCTTCCAAATCTCTCACTAACTTACTGTACACTTAAGATGACATTACACTGTGTTGTCATAGAAACCTCTTAAAACCTGAATACATCGTTTTCAAAATTAAATAAGGATGCATCTATGCAAACAAAATAAAACTTGACCTTGAAAATTATCATGATGCCGGGCAGCTTCTTAGAGACTGTGAAAACAGGCTACCTCTCGTTGCCTACAGGTAAACAGATAGGTCATAACAGTTGGACGCCGCGCCTCATCAGGATGCTAAATGCTTTTCTTCTAAGTGCCCTCATTGCTGTTAATGATTGCGGTGCAGATGGGCTTGCTCATTGGCGAATCCCAGGCACCGCCTAATCATTCTGTAACACTGGATCACACAGACAGACTCTGTGGAGTCTTTAGAACTTGCTGCGCTCACAATGAACAGACATCCTGTTCTGCCAGGCTTTTTGATTGAACATACAGAACGGATTTCCCCCTGTTGGGTTGGACATGTAAATTATGCACAAGGTAATTAAAGGGGAGCAAAAGCAAGTAAAATATTACATTACATTTCATTTAGCTGACGCTTTTATCCGAAGCGACTTACAATCAGTGCATTCGACCAAGAAGATACAAACTTGAAGAAAACAGAATCATATAAGTACATCAGGTTTCATAGAGCCAAACGATTTTAAGTGCTACTCAACTGGCTTTAGATAAGCCAGTCCTTTGTTAGTATATAAGTGCCTTGTTAGTATGTAAGTGCTTAGTTAGTATATAAGTGCTTTTTACTTTTTTTTTTTTTTTTTTTTTTGTTAGAGGATAATAACAACTTAACTTTGTGCAAAAACAAACCAATGATCATTTCAAATGTATTTTCTGTGCATAGATTGCAAGCCAGAAAGCTGGGGAATTCAATACTTTTCATAGATGTGAATGTGTTTGACTCTGTGTGATTCCCTGTCATGGCTTGGCAATCAATGTAGTGTTTTCTTGCTTTCTACCCATTGCATGCTGGGAAAGAGTCAAGATTCAAGGCTTTATTGTCATGTGCACATTAGCTACAGTTAGATATGGAAATGAAAAACTTAAGTCACAGGCTCCTCAAACATTGCAACGTGAATATAGGACATAAAACAAATAAAACAGATACAATAGTGCAAGTCAAAGGGTCCCGTCCTCACTAATGAACCATAAGGAAAATATGTATAGTTAAAACAAGGCATTGCTTCCATTGCACAGCTGCAACTGCTGTGTTGCAGGGATGTCAGGAATCTGGGGCGATGATGTGCCAGCTTCTCAGACATCCTCCACACTGCAGGCTGTGATGAAAAACAAATAATAACATCAGATTTCTTTCCCCTGTGCACTTCACTTACCTACTGCATTATATAGTTTTCCTTTAAAAATAAACTTGCCTTTAAAACAATCCAGCAATTTAGCTTTCATCCGAAATAGCGTATTCACAGAGGATTCTGTGCTATCTCCAACATGCTTACATAACACTGTGCACAATTGACTGATATTCTTGAGATTATTATACATCTTGAGACAAATGACTGAAATCACTGAACACAGCAACCATTTTTTTTTTTTCAGGATTCGCCAGTTGCACCAATTTCAAGGACATTATTTCATGCAAAAATGTATCAAATGTGCTTAGCTAATAATTATAATCTCCTTGACCGGTTGTGACACCTCGCTCTTTCTCTTTCTATTGCTCTCTCACACATGCATTTATAGCAGAGAGAGATGACAGAGGTGCAAAGAACGTTTCATTCCTGGCATCTTAAGCTTTTCTGCACGATTGGCCTTTGGCGAAGTAAAGAAGTGTAGACACCTAAGAATGCCAAGCATAAACTCAGCGACTCTGTAATGTTCGAGGGAGAAAAAAGCAGAGAAGAAAGACAAAGCAAACACAAACATTCAAGCCTCTGGAGACGGAGGAAAGCAAAGCAAAGCTGCCTGGCAACAGCACTCATTTTGGCATGGCTTTCATCTGGGCTTGGCCTTTTGACAACAGATGCAATTGAAGCTATCTTCACAGCATGCATTATTATTTGTCTCAAAGGTCATTCATTCAGAATGTTGAGTTATAGGGGGAAGAGGTGAAGGGGTAATGTGCTCATCCTGGTAAAAGCAGGCCTTGATGAATAATAGAGGAACTGTGTATTTGTGCGTGTGTGATACATACATATGTATTCATCAGTATGCATGTGCTGCATGTGGGATTACATGTGTTTGCCTGCATTGTATCTTTACACGCCCGGTTGCCTGTGTGTGTGTGTTGTGTGTGGTTGTGCATGAATTTCTTTTTGGCTCTGAATTTGAGCAGCAGCGTATGCCTGCCTTACTGTCTGTTCTCTGTGATCTCTTCATGAACTCAAAACTCGTATCCACGTCTGCCACTCCATCTACTCTCCATGATGACTCCCATCAATTTCCATAATCATCCTTTTACTCTCCTTTATTATCGGTCTTCCATCTTTCCCGTCTCTCCAGCACTTTCTCATCTCCCTCTTATCTCCTCCTCGTCTCTCCAGAAGATCGCCTCAATGCACATTGCAGCAAAGCCGGCTCAAACTTCAGTCCAATTCTTCTACATGAATATTTCATTTACTTTTTGTAAATTGTTTTTTTTTAGCTGTAAACAAAGTTCATGCAAAGTAAGAATTGGAATTTGGCCTAATTTGTGAAGTTCACAAACTAGCTAATTGGTTACTCTCAAATCAAAGGGGCTAAAACTGGACATGATGAACAACTTGTTTTATACTTTCAACAGAAAAAACATGAATTCCCTTTAAAACCAATAAGTTCTGATTAGTAACATGCAACATCTGTTTAAACATTCCCATAAATTACCCAAAGCGATGGGTATTGAAATGAGTTGTGATACATTAACACAAAAAAATCCTAATTGGAATTCATGATTTTGAAAGTCAGTAATGAAATCACATTGCTGCTTGTTTACAAACCGGTCCTCTGATTGTACACTGCTCCAGGGGTAACCTTTATGGAAGATGAAGCACCGTGCAGTGGGATAGGTTAATGCAAAAACAACAATTAGTATGAATATTAATCAGACAAGGAGCAATAAAGTTTTAGAAAGCACTGAGCATAGTCAATATTATTTTTCTCTGGTGGATTTAAAGGTGGTTAGAAGGAGTGTCTCTGAGTCAAAACCTAGAGATAACACCTTCTGCATGCTTGCTTAAAACTGTTTTCATATGCCTGTCAGAATTATTTAATATTGTAAAACACTCTTTGTTCACAGCTATTTACCTCAGCTAAAGTAATATGGATCAGTCTGTTCTTAGTAACTACCGACCCATATCTAACCTCTCCATCTTACATTAGTTAAGATCAAATACAAAGTTGTTCTTGAACACGGTAATACTTTCGTCAAAAATCTATTATATTTTTGAGACTTCACAATCCGAGACCAACACAAAATAAAGAACAAGTGTTGAATGATATAAGAAATAACTAAATTAAGCTTTCAGTCCTTTTTTTCTTTGACTTCTTATTAGTGAGTTCCAGTATTGGTTTCAGGTGTTCTGTTCTAATTCTGATTTACGTAAAAGTGTTAGGCCTACTATATATGCAGAAAATGTAAGAGGGGATGAGGAAAATATATTCTCTTCACTGTGACTTGTAACAATGTTGTTTCTATCTACACTTTTACAGCTGTTGCACTTTTGTTTTTCTACCTTTGGGAACTGAGATAAATCAATAACACTTCCTACCTCTGCCTCATTGTTATATGAAACTGTGCAAGCCCAAAATTGATGTACACTATAAATCTAAAACTAGAGCATTTGTTTGAAATGTTAAAAAAAAGTTGTTTTATTCCAGCTTTCAAGGCTTCGGGGGAAGTTGGGAAAGTACATCCTGAGTTTAAGAGAATGATGAATGCTGTGTTCTTGTCTTTGCTGGGGGACATAATAATGATGAGACACATCAATCTTTATTACCATCCAACCTCCCAGTCCAGAACATCCAAGGGCAACATAAATATTGCACTCACAGAGAACATTTATCTTCACACACCTGAGTATAGCTTCCATCTGCAAGGAGACAAGTTCTCTTTTAGGTTTTGAAGTATGTGCACGTTTTTTTTGCTTTGTTATTCTTTATGGGAATGGCAAGTGAATCATTCTATATAAAGCCAACTTTAATCCGAGTAATAAAGGTTTTATTTATAGCGAGCAATAGAATGACTCAATCTTCATACAGAATAGGGGATAATCCTTATTTCAATCAGTAGCACATCATTTACTATGGTAACATTGGTGGACTCATCCGTCTATCTAGCCAGAGTTGCGCTGTGATTGGCTTAAAGACGTAAACCACCGCCCCTTCGTACCTGTCGATCTGTGACAGGTCGGTGAAGCTCTCTGACGCCCCGCCCACCGCGTCCCTCCCGCCCCTTTCCACCGGCGTTAAATCGTGAAGCGAATTGACTGTTGCAGGCTCGGTATGTGGCGCATGAGTATGCGTTTCGGGATGTAACGGCTGTTTCTCGGAGTACTCTCACTGAATTAAAACATATTTATATATCAGGGTGGCTCAGAAGATAGGAAACCTAAGAAGAGCGGACACAAACTAAGGGAGTTTACGACAGCGCGGAGTGGAGGGAGACACGGGAGCGTGGCAGGAGGGACGACCTAGCAAATCCAACCGACACCGCACGCAGAAATGGCGGAGCACCACGCAGCAGGCGACGGCAAGCACAAAGCGTCCACCAATGCCGGTGGCTCGGTGCACGGGAACAGCCGACCCGGCGCCGCGGGTGGAGGAGGAGGAGGGGGGAAAGTAGGCCTGTCTGGTGGACTCACACAGCCGGCAGGGTGGCAGTCTTTACTCTCCTTTAGCATTCTCTTCCTGGCCTGCCTGGCCGGATTCAGCTCAAGACTTTTCGCGGTGATCCGGTTCGAGAGCATCATCCACGAGTTTGATCCATGGTAAGCTAGCTCACGTCTGTCAGGTTTGTCAGGTTTCCTGGTTACAATTGCTTCCAGTGACAATCAAAGACAGAGGGGGATGTGCAAATCTCAGTAAAGGGGGGGGTCATTCAAAATTGCATATGTGTTTTTCTTTTGTTGTACTGTTTAAAAGTAATCAGCGAGTATTTTGATCACCGATTTTAACTACTGTTTAGATGCCAGTGATCGTTACCTCCTCGAGAATGATTCCCCATATTGACCAACGACAGGATTATATTGGTCTAATACTTTGAATATGAGCTCAGTGGCCTGATGTGTACCCTTACATTGACATGTTAACAAGAGAACGGAATGAAACGCATCCAGCTGATCCGGTACGACCACTTTTGTTAAACGATGCCAAAAACGCTGAATAATAGCTGTAGTGAGCGGTGTAAGTAGCCTACAACTGCAGGGACAACTTTGTTTAGGTTGTAGGGAAACATGTGCAAGTAATGCATGATTTCTCTGTCCTCTGCGTGATTTAATTTATTGAAAATCCTGTGTGAGTGGAGGAAGTTGAAATGATCGTTGTTCCTTAAATGAAGATTATCGCTTCAGCGGTTGTCGATATGATAGATTGACTGTTTTTCCTGCTGGAAAAAATCCTCTCAGAGTTTAACCCAATTTGCTGAGTTGGTAGACAACATGCACACTGGATTGTAAGGTTCTCCTGCAAATTACAGCCAGTGCACATCATAACAGGGGTCTGTTTATAACCCGGAAGCCAAATGATCCGGTCTGGTGTGCCTGTCATCACAATGAGGATTATTCCGCTTTGTAACTGTGTCACATGGGCTCTCAAGTGTCCGCCGTCTGGTTGCAAAGCATCCCCTAGCTGCTGTCCTATACTCTGTGGCATCCAACCAGGCGGCACGACTGATGCATTCATTTATTAATTTTCAAGGACAGGTGCTCCATCTCGTTCAGGGTGACACTTGCCACTTCAATTATATTGATAACTTTATTGCATTTACAGCCAAGGGCCAAGGCTTCCTCTTAGGAGAGGGTCCACACGGTTCAGAGGAACTTGATCCTGATTTAAGACAAGGACCTGACTGTTGATGAGGGGTCCCAAGTGTCACATATTCTTGTTTGCTTACAGCTTTTCTATTACTTATTAACAACCTGGTCAGACACTATTATTTATGGTATCCTTCCTACAATCAACACTAAATTCGTTTTGCCATCAGTTCAAACTGCACAGTTCTTTGGCTAGATGTCAATGAAAAGATAGAAAAGGGGATTTTTTTATTTTCACAAGTTTCAAAAAACCTTTCAGCTAAGTCTACAATCTACATCTGTTGTTCTCAAAAAAAATATTTGTAATGTAGTTAACGTTTTAGTGTGATTCACTTGGTTATCAGAAGGAGCATCAGATACTGCATGACATTATTTTGATTGGAAAATATATTTATCCTTGTCTTGCAACATCCAAACCCCCTCTTTTGACCCTATGTGTAACCCTGATCTGCTAGCTGAGAGCCCCTGCGTGCATTTTACAATCATTAACACTCTCAGGAATTCTTAAGTGTTTATAGCTGTGGATAACATTAGTTTTTGCATAGATTAACACATAAACCTGACCCCAGTTGATAATGTGTTTCCCAAGAATGTTAAACAGGCTGCTATGCAAAGATTTATTCTGGTACCTTTTGTTGACTCTTAAACGCAAGATTGGTCTGCATCGCTCTAAAAAACAGGTTTTCTATGATCATGCTGCATCACATATTATAATTTCCTCACCTTTTTTGACAGTGAGAAAAGAAAAACAGATTTTGTACAACTCCAGGCACACAGGATCCTGATTGGAAGTGGCCCTCACTCCCAGACACACATGATTACTGCTGTTGTCGTCTGGATGCTCTTATTGATTTTCCTCTGCACAGAGCTTGAAATCATCTCCAGCTAACCAGTACGTTAAATAAACTAGCAATTTGAAGAATGAAAATTGGATTTCAAAGCACCAAAATGTCAAGCTTATTTTGCAATATGCAAACACAAATATGTAGGCGAGCCCCCTGATATGACTTGCCTGTTATCTGGCTGTGTTCATTATGTTTCCTAATATTTGTTGATTATTTCCAGGACCAGAGAGGCTTTGGTTGACATTCAAGTGAGATTTTGTTTGTCTTCTCCATTCCCGAAAGCAATTAATTTCTAAAGTTGTGTCCTGAATTGAAAATGCATTTCATTTTCTTTAACTAACTCAAGGCTACAAGTCACTGGATGTTTCTGCTAAAATATTCATCATATACTTTGACATGTAGATGTGGAACTCCTCTGCCCTGCTTATACATATATATTAAAGCAGACTACCATTATATGCCAAACTGGGTGCTCTGCAGAAGAGTAACAATAGTTTCTCTTTACTGGGTTGACTTATACAAATACTCTGTCTAGTTTATACAAATAGTGGAAAGAATAATATTACTAGACCAAAAGCTGTATGGTGAGGCACATGCATGTGTGTATGGGAGAACACAGGGGAATGAGGAGTCAATTTTTTCCCCATCTCAGTTATGTCAAGCAATGCAGCTTGTTCTGACAGTAGTGTGAGGCAGTGTTTCCGCTTGAAATGACGAAAAGGTCAAGGACATCCCTCTGTTGGAGGGGCAAAGGAGCCTGGTGGGATTCTTTTCGGAGTATTGAAGATCGTTTCGTATCTTGGACCCACGGTGCCTGCCACAGGACAACACGGAACGTGCACGATTTGGACGCGATGAGCGGTGGAGCACGCGCGTGAACTGCGAGCCTCGCAGCGGCGAAACTGAGGCTCCATGGTAAACTGTGGTAACAAGAGCCGGCTCTTCTTCTTAGTAAGCCGAGCCAAATGATCCGGCTCACTACAAAGAGCCGTAATTCCCATCACTAACGTAAAGAGATATTGTCTATAAGGGACGGCTAAATTCAAAATTGAAGTCACGTGACACAACGTGCCGTCACAACCATATGCATATGTTATAGCCTCAATAAAGTCAAAGCCTCATAAATGTGTATGCCGCCGAATTGATGAACGCTTTGGAAGTATGTTGAAGTTTAGACTTATCGACTCTCAAATGGTGTTGCACGTTTTTGGCCTATCTGCGCACCTGCCCCAATTGTACTGGTAAATATGCAACATGTTTACCACACAAATACATGTATCATCATTTATAGCGGCAGTAATGTTTTGGCTTGGACAGGTGTAATATTCTTTGGACAAAAACATGCAGAGAATTCCCATAATGGCACTAAGCGGCCATTATGCTGATTTTAAAATGGTGTATATTTGTGATTTTACGGCTTTGGCTAACCAAAGTCCGACCAGGTGCACCAGGTTTGCAGTTTTCTACAGAATCAATGATCCAAATAACTTGACCCTCAGCACTGCACTTTATCTCGTCGTCAGCTACACACTCACCAAGCACGAAGAAGATCTTCCCCCGTTGGAGAGATAATCGAAACTTGGATAAATACAAAAATAGTTAAAAAATTGCTTTGGTCAAATAAGTGATTGTCTTTTTATACAAGATTAGACATCCATATATGTCTTGAAGTTGTTTTGGTCAGATACAAATTATATTTTGAGTTTAAGTTAAGAGACAGATGTGATTGTAGTATTTGTGCCATGCCATATGCTTCTGTAGCATTTCTGTGCCATCTGCGTGCAAACTCACGACAGCAGCGTTACCAGGTTAATAGAAGATTTAGCCCAAGAGCCATTGGAAAACTGCCTAATGTGCTCTGAAACTATCCAAACACATTGCTTCGTTCCTCCTTTCTCTTTGAGCTGCTCCTGCTGCTTGCATTCATGCTCCCTTTTTACCTCTCCTCCTACCTCTTGTACTCCGCAAAATATGGGTGCTGCAGTTTTAAATATTCCTTATGAACTTGTACAACCCACTTTCATTGGCTCTGTCAATCCCCTGGTCATCCCGGGAACTTCCATAACTTGCAGCTCCAATGGCACCACCGATGAACGTGATAAAGATTTTTTTTGGTGGCAGTGTCATGACTTCATGTAGGACACAAAGAAAAATATCCAGGAATATTCAACAGCTTTTGATTGTTAATCGGAAGACAAAGGATGTGTGATTTAATATCTGAAATATCAGTTGTTTGTCTCAAACAACACTTTAATATCAGTTAAGGCCTCAGAAAATACTTTTATGTGTTTTTGACCTCTTTTATAACACAGTCTTTGCTGCTGAAAGTGCTTTGTTATGAATTCAACCCACAATGGGTGCTATCAAATTGGCTTTTTTTTTCTCTTTTTTTAAGTGATGGGGATTATCAGCTATTATGTGTGTGTTTTCTCCCCTCCTGCCTTTTGACACACACAAATGATGACATGTATCTAAAAGTAGATTGGGCCCTGCCAAAGGCTGCTGCTGGCACAGCACCACCTGAGCTAGTGCAGTAGTGTGGGAAAACTGAGAATAAGTCATGATTGATCTTCCTACCAGACACTTGGCTGCAGCTGTGATCTCTGCCTAAACTCCCTTGCCGACTGTCCAACAGCTTATGAAATATTCAGTGTTCGGACGGTGTCCAGTTACCTGCAGCCGAAAAGGTTCGAGTGGGTGCCCATCCTCGGTTAATATAGAACGGTTGCCTAGAATTACATTATTCTTTGTTTAATAGTTTAGAGTTACCACAGCAACGTATTAGCCATTTCACAGCAGTGCCAAAGGTAATGACTATTTTGGCTCCGGCTCTTTAGTCTCCACTCAAGCCTTGCAGGCCAGGAGTCCTTCCACTCAAACTATATCACAACACATATGGCGCATTTCCACTACAGCGCGGAGCTCGCTTTAAGCGTGCCGAGCCGTGGGGGCCCGTTTTTGGTTGCGTTTCCACTTAGCGTAGCACCGGCTAGCGGGTACTATTTCACAGTTTATCTGGCCCCATAAAATCGAGGTTCTTTCCGGGCCAACAACCAGGCTGAGTCGGGCTGAGTATGCTAAACTAGAGAGAGAATCGCTGGCAAGGGGGCT